GGACAGTCCTCATACACTGCTGGTGGGACTGCAAAATGGTGTAACCACTATAGAAAGCAGTATGGCTACTCCTTAAAAAGCTGCAAATAGAACACCATTTGATCCAGCAATCCCATTACTGGTATATATCCTAAAGTGAGAGGCAGAACAAGAACAGACATATGTGCACCCACATTCACTGCAGTACTATTTACAACAGCAAAGAGATGGAAACAACCTAAGTGCCCATCAACAGAAGAATGGATGACCAAACTATGGTACATACACATAATGGAATACTATGCAACACTGAAGAGTGTAGAATCCACAAAACCTCATAACGTGGATGAAATTGGAGAACATTATGCTGAGTGAAGTCAGTCAGTCACAGAAGGACAAATAGTGTATTAGTTCATTATTGTAAAACATCAAGGTAAAGTTTATATGCGGAAGGAAACTTTCTTTGCTGGTCACCGGGATGGGAGGGGAGGGGAGGAAACACTGCTAGACGGGTAAGAGACAAGCAGTGATTTGGAGAAGGGAAAGGCAATGCACCAAAAGTGAGTGACCCACAGAATAAAAGGAACTGGAAGACACGGAGAGGTGCACGAGAGGGACAGACAAGGGAGACAAGCCTTTTCACACGTGGAACCACACTCCATCACCAGCGACGACCAGCGTTCATCTACGGGTGGATACACAGGGGGACAGGCTGGACGGTCAGGTCTGTCTAGGCAAAAGGGAACACATCCATGACCATCTGGGCTTGGCAGACGGTATTTCTACACACGCATTTGTATGTGCTGTAAGAGTGCTCACATAAATAGACCTAACAGGGAACAAAGATACAGTAACTTCTCGGCCACAGGAGACCACCCTGAGGGAGCGAGGTGTTGGACCTGTGGTCTTGGGATCATGGTCATGGGGGACATCAAGTTCAACTGGCACAACGTACTACACAAAACCATTGTTCTACATCCTACTTTGGTGAGTAGTTGAGTGGGGTCTTGGAGGCTTGCAATTAGCCATCTAGATGCAATGATGGGTCCCTCCTCGTCCAGAGCAAGGAAGACTGAAGAAAACCAAAGACGATGGAAACAATGAGTCGAGGGGACGGCAGCAGACCATGCGAACCTCAGCCTGTATGACCATGAGACCAGAAGAACTAGATGGTGCCCGGCTACCACTGTCAACCACTCGGAAGGGGATCAGTGCAGGAGATCCTGGATAGAGTGGGAGAACGATACGGAACAAGACTCACAGTCATGAAAAGATGACGTTTGCTGGTTTGACAGAGCTTAGTGAGACCCCTGAGACTATGGCCCCCAGGTACCCTTCAGGTCTGGAACTGAATTCACTCCTGTGGCGTTCAGGCAAACAACAGACAAGTGTATAAAGTGAACGGTTAACAGCAGGCGGGTTCCCACCTCAGAACAACCAACCACGGGAGATCAACCGGGGGCGGTGCTTGCACAGGGAGACAGCTTGGGGCGGGAGTGCGTGGGAGAGGACGCAGGAAAGGGGGGCCACAGGGAGGAAGTGGGGGAGAGCTGTTCCTCTGTGGGGACGGCACTCAATGTCATGAGACAAAATGCATGTGAACTCCTGTGTGGAAACGGAATTTTCTCTGTGAACTTTCACCCAAATCACGAGCTTTTAAAAAATCGATCCAACAAAAGCCAGTGGTGATCCCATGACTGTGTCCATGTTTCTAAACCAGACGCCAAGCTAGAGGCACATCTGACACGGCAGCCGTCACTGCAGGGACGATGAAGGGGAGAAGGGGTGGGCATGCACTTTCCCCACGTACAAATGTCCTAGCGTCCCCTGGACCACAGCTGAGGGTGTCAGGGATGGCAGGCAGGCCAGCAGTCTGCGGCAGCAGTCCCCATGGAAGTGCGTCCCACAGCCGCCCAGCGGGGAGGTGGGGGCTCGTGGACTTGGCAATTACTCCAGCCTGGCTTGGGGCAACAGCCCAATGCAGACCCCGAGGGTCGCACCGTGGCCAGATCTGAACAAGCAGGATCTTTCGCCAAAAGGGCCACGAGACTCGCTCCTGAGAACGCTCGGTGCTGACCCCCAGCCCGCACTCAGCCCCCGCCCCACCGCAAGCCCTCATTTTCCTCAGCCTTCTCCTGGGGAAGCAGCCGGTGACCCCGGGTCTGCTGGGACTTACCGGCTTCAATAGGGACCGTCTTCTGGTAAGCGGAGGACACCTTGGCAATGTCTTCAAAGGTTGACGCGTTCTACGAGTCGGGAAGGATCATCAGCAAAGTAGCTTCTCCAATCCTCCCCCCGAGACATGCGGGGACAGCCCCCCCAGGTCTGCACTGACCCAGTGCCCGCCCACCTCTGCATGCTGCACGGTAACCAGGCAGAACAACATGGTCCATCACACTCAGGCTAGTGGTCACACAAGTCAGTGTCAGGACGACAACACAGACCTGCAGCTGCCCAGTCACAGATGCATCGCACGCTCCCCAGGGACCCTCCCCACCCACCCCAGGAGCCTTCCGCTCTCCACGCTCCCTGGCCCTGCCGGCCCTGACCACCAAGCATGATGACACCTTATTTCGCAGGAGACCCGTGCTGGCCAACCGATGGGACATCCATGTGGAGTCAAACTAGGTCCTGACTCAAAGCCACACCTCTCTGTCCTCCCCACGCTCCCCAGCATCCTATCTGAGGCCCAAGCCTGCCTTCCACCTCCAGGGAGCCACGCCATGAGCCGAAGGGAGGAAGACCCTGATGCAAACCTCTCCAAGGCACCCCCTGCTTAGCCCCCTCGGCTTCCACTTCTCCCCTAACAAAGCCCACCCAGCAGCCCCACCCTCGCCTGCCCAAGCTTGGCCCACCAGCGGCCCTGCCCTCCGCTCCCCAAGACCTGCCCAGCCCCACACCCCGGCCACTCTGCAGTGGGACCGGCTTCTTTCAGCTTCAGGGCTCCTGCCCCTAGGCCTGGATACCTGAGGCGTCTGGGCTCTGTAGCCTCCAGACCCCATCTTTCCAGGGAACTCCTCGCCACCCTTCAGAGCTGAGGTAAGCCCTCACTCCTCAGGGGGCCTTTCCCACCCCTCAGCCCAAACCTGACACACAGGGGTCACCGTGCGGCAGAGACAACACCATGGCAACCAGCTGCCAGCGGTTAGCAGAGAGCAGGAGCCTGGGTCTGAACGCTCACCTTGTCCATGCGGTCCTTCTGCACCCCGTACTTCCCACCGAATCCTTTGGAATAGTCTGAGAGGGGCACAACAGAACACCGAGTGAGGCCAAGGCCAAGCTGGGCCCCGACAGCAGAGACATGCAACAGACGCAGCACAGCCCCGGGGAGGCGCCAGCAGGACAGAGGGGGAGGAGAGGCCGCCCGGCCGGCTCCCATCACGAGGCAGGCTTGGGTTCTAAGCTGGGGCTCAGCGCACGGGCAGGGAGCGGCGGGAGACGGGCAATGCATGCTCCCCACAGTTCCCGGGGGGCAGGGAAGGCGACAGGGCGCAGTCAAGCAGGAGAGGGGCCACAGGCCAGGAGTGTGCGACACACACTTCAACAGCACAGTCTTCCACACCCAGCAGGTGCTCTGCGCCCCCGCTGTTCACACTCTGCTCTACCGTGCACCCAGCGGCCGTGCCACCGTAGCTGTCTCTGAGTTTTTTAGAACAGAACGCGTGCCATGTGGAAACACTACCAGCCAAACACAGACGCTGCAGCAACACAGGCCCGCGTGGAAGTCACACCGCCGTGCAGGGTCATGGCCAAGTCAGCCCAACGGTCCCTCCACACAGCGTGCAGGCACGCCCAGGCACGTTCCCCTGTCCACCCTCGGCACCGTGAGGTGTGTCTACTAGGACTGCTTATTGTCGGGTGTGAAGTGATTCCAACTCAGTGAAACCACGAGGCAGGCCAGAGCTGCCCCAGAGCATTTCCTTGGTGGTACCCTCCATGGGAACAGGTCACTGGGTCTTTTCTCCCACAGAGCAGTGGGTGGGTTTGAATCACCGACCTTTTGGTTACCAGCCAAACACCTAACCACTGAGCCGCGGGGCTTCCTACCCACCAGCACCCGGGGCTGAGAAGCCTCCCTGGGCCCTGGGCCAGTGCAGCCAGGGCATGACTGTCTTCCTAGTCGTGTGTCCAGGTTTAATGACCCAGTTCGGACACAACAGTAATCAGGTATCAGCTCTGAGAACTGAGGCACCTGGCCCTCCCACTGCCAGTGTGTGCACGTGACCCCCAGCGTGTGCACGTGAAAACATACTTCTGAGCTTTGCGTATACACTGTTTTGGCCGTAGGTGAAGAAAGCGTCATTAAAAACAAAACAGAACGCTTCCTGCCTCCGGCTGAAAAAGGCCACGAGACAGACACAGGGCAACCACACTGAACGTGCCTGCCGCCCCCTTGCTGCCCCAGCCTCTGGCCTAAAGGTCACTGGTCTGGTCACGCCTTGCTCTGCACATGGAGGCGGTGACGCCGCTCAACCACCCGTGGTGGTGGCAGTCAGGAGACCGGCTGGTGCCCCGAGGTGGTCAGCACGAGACCAGTTCGTGCTGGACGCTCCTAAGGAACCAAAGCAATGCCCCCCGGACCCGGCTCAGGGTCAGGGAGCCACGGGCTGCCGCTGCACCCTTTTCACCAGGTGCGGAGCCTGGGGGGTCAACACTGTGAGTGGCAGAGACTGAGAGCTCAGCTGCTTTAGCACGGAAGTGGGGGCATGTCCCCACTGGACACCAGGCCTGACTGCGGGTGACACGAAGACTGTGCTCTGAAGTCTGCCACGGGCGGCCGTGCTGCGGCGGGAGGCTGGCGTGCGACCGTGCCTTGCTGGGACCCGTGCTTGGCCAGCTTCTCCTTGTAATCAAACCCCACAGCGGAGGAGTCCTGCCTCTCGGACTGAACACCAAATCTGCCTCCGAAACCCGTCTTATAGTCTGGAGAGCGGCAGGTGCCAGCGGCGAGGGCGACCGAGGGAGGAAACACAGTCCGGTTACAAGTGTCTGAGCACCCGCCTTCAGCAGGCACATTGCTTCATGAAGCAGAAGGCCGCCCAGCACAGGGCCTTCCACAGTCACAGGCCGGCCAGCAAGGAGCAGACCTGACCCCAAAACAGGTTACAAGCTGGACTTGAACTAGTTCAGGAAGGCAACTCCAGGCGTTGAAGTTGGCAATGAGGGCCCTACCCACACCACAGGCGAGAGAAGACACGCACACTCATGCGTGTGTGTGTGTGTGTAAGGTGACACCTGACAGGCACTGCAAACACACAGGGACAACTGTCACGCAGCAGCTCCAACTGTCCCCACTTCTGCTTCTCTGTCTGAAATGATGGCAGCACCAGACCTTTGGCTTGAGTCAGCTTGACACTAAAATTAGGTCCTCCCTCCTCTCGCTCTCCCTTGTCCAAGGATGGGGTTCCTATCTGATCACAAACCACTTCCAGGCAGAAAGGAGCACTCTGCCGGCATGGGACTCCGAGCCGGAACAGTGCCGCGTGGGCCACCACCCACGAACGGAAAACGGCATTCCCAGCAACGCTGCCAGTGATGCCGGCGGCTTCTCAAGCACGCGTCCCTACGGTGTCGGAAACAGCTCCCCATCCGCCGGCGGCTCCTCCGAGTGGAGGGTAAGGGCCTCACTACACTGGATGGACCCGCGAGGCACAGGGCCCCACACACAGAGCTGAGGGAGCAAGGCTGCTGCGAAACACAGCGCACACACAGCGCACACACACACAGCGCACACACACAGCGCACACGCACAGCACACAGCACACAGTGCACACACACAGTGCGCACACAGCACGGGCACCGCTCCCGGAAGGAGTGGGGCAGACAGGCGCCTGTGGAGAGGGCGCTAGGCAGGTGTGGAGGCCGCTACCTTTCTGGGACTCGTGCAGCTGCACTTTCTCCTGGTGGTCCCAGCCAAGGGCACACTTGTCTTGTCTGTCTGTCTGGACGCCAAACTTTCCTCCAAAGCCTTTCACGTAGTCTGCGTGTGTGACAGAAGCCAGTCTGTTAACGGGCAACCAGGGGCAAGGGGCCTGTTTGCCAGGCTGTCAGACACCCCAGTGACTACCCCACCCTTCCTGACCTTGGATAAAGCTTCTGGTGACGCCCCGGAAGCGCCTCCTCGGGGAGTTACCAGAAGACACCCACAGTCTGCTGTCCGCAACAGCAGCAGCAGGCAGGTGGACAGGGCGGGGCCCGCATCAGAAGCAGGGACACGTGTGCCTTCAACAGTGCGTGCAGGAAGCACGGCCCACCCGCACAGATGTGACTGGGACACCGTGCCAGCATGACAGGCGAGGCTTGGGGAGGGGGGGTCCCAGGGCCCCAAAAGTGTAAGGATTTGATTCTTTTAATTTAACGGCTTTAGGTTGTTTTCTCGTACGGCTGCTTTCAAGGAGAGTGTTTCATTCAGGAGAGGCGTCTCCCCTCGTCCATCTGGGCTAACACCAGGCCCTGGATGGAGGAAAGATCAAGTCGAGCATACCTTTCTGGGACTCGTGCTTCTCCGTCTTGCCTTGATACTCGAAGCCAACGGCACTTTTATCCACTTTGTCCTTGTCAATCCCATATTTGCCACCAAAACCTCTGGAGTAATCTGAAAAAAGGAAAGCACTGTTCACATACCACCAACAAAGCCAACGACATGCTGTGGCTCTCACAAGGCTCTCAGTAACCACTTTCCACACTTAGTTTAAAAGAACGAAACTACCACAAACACTTCCAGGTTCACCATAAGGTGTCTTGGGTGATACGGGAAACAAGGTCCCACTGAACACGCGACCCTATAAATTGGGACGGCAGGACCCACAGCGGACAGGGGAAGAACTGCAACTCCCCATCCCACCACCCCGAAACCCAGCAGGGAATAACCGTCTCCTCAGGCCCAGGCTGAGAGTCAGGGAGACGGGCACCTCGGCCTCACAGACTGTGGAAGCAGAGGTGTGCTGGGCGGGCTGTCACAGAAACAGCAAACTCTGGACTAGCTTCAGAAAAACACGCCTCTCCTCAAAGCGAGGGAGCTGTGAACGTCACTCTCACACCAGTGCGTCAAGGACGTGTTAAAACAAGAGGACACAGAAACCAGCACCTCAAGACAGAGCCTGGGGCCTCGAGGGGCCTAACCGTGGCCCCCGGACCCCAGGGGCTGTGTGCAGACCGCCCAGGAGGCTGACCTTCGCGGATGCCACCAGAAGCGAGTCCGTGACACCCTGGACAGGATCTAACAGGATGTCCCGGTTAACAGCTGGACACTATGCAAAGTGATGTTTTGCTCCCAGTACAGACAGAGAAGCCAGAATCGAAGCCATCGCGGCTGAGAAGGGAGCTCACGGGGGCCAGGCAGGTGGGCAGGAGCAGGAGGGCAAAGACCCCAAGACACCAGCGCTGCCACCCAGTCCCAGGCTGGCCCACATCACCCCCAAGGAGTGCAGGCTGGGTGTCCGCAGTGTCCTGCGGTTCTTCCTCACAAGCAAGGCTGGACTTCTTGCTTCTCACTCTCTGCTTTTTAAGTGCTGGCAATCATTTTAAAACGTTCAAGTGTGGGCCGGGCAAACAGGAGCAGAGGACCGGCAGCTGCTGCCCGGCCACGGTGTGCTGATCTGTAGGACAACCTGCACAACACGCTCCTCCCTGAGAAAGCGGCCTCCCTCCCCGGAAAGGGAGCCCTCCTCAGGACACTGTGCCCAGCACAGTCTGAGCCTTCACAGCAGTGGAAACAGCTAGCGCAGTCCTCTGCTAACCAGAGGCTGACGGCTCAATCCACCCAGAGGCACCTCAGGAGGCCTGGGGGTCTACAGGTGGGCCTCAACTTACAATGGGGTTACACCCTAATGACCCTTGTAAGCTGGTTCTAATGTAAGTCAACTACCACCTTTGTTTTAGTTTCTGTATTGCCTTTGTATTATCTTACAGTTGATGATTGAGGAGCTCTGGTGGCGTAGTGCCTAAGGGACTTGACTGCTAATCAGAAGGCTGGCAGTTCAAACCCACCAGCCACTCCTCGGAAGGAAGATTGGGCAATCCACTTCTGTAGTGTCACTGCCTTGGAAACCCAAGGAGGGGTGCTATGAGTCAGGGTCGACTCGACAGCACGTAACAACAGCAACACTACTGATGATTCTTCCTACTGCCTTTCATCATCATCTTTCCAAATATGGTCTGAACAGGAGAAGGATGACATCAGCGATCCAGCGTGCCGACGCCTATGCAGCGCGTGCTGCTAACAGGATGTACGAAACGACAGACGGTCCTAAGTGTGGCTCATCGCAGCGCACACACCTACAGTATCCCTGCTGAAGAGCCCATGGGCCGCGGCTCTACACTGACACGAGGGGCCGTGAGGGCTCAGTCAGCCAAGAGCACCTGGTCCGGTCAGCGATAGCCTCTGACCCAGCAAGTTTCTTTGCAGAATTTATTCTTCTGAGTAATCACTGATGTTGAACGTTCCCACAGCAGATTTCTAACATACAACATGACATGTACCGCAGTCTCTGCGTGCAGAAGGGGATGGTCCGACAGATATCGGCCCCTACAACGGGGGACTGAGCAGCCACCACCACAAGGCCGTGACCTACGGTGGCCGGGAAGGCGTGGCCAGACGCTTTTTCGCTACCTCCGCCTGCAGCGTAACTCGATTTGTGTCCCCTCACAGGTGTTTCTGACGTACACGCCAGAGAAATGATGGGAGAGGCACACCCACGCTCCTCTCTGGGGAGAGAGGGCAGGGAGGAAGGAGGCCCCCGTGGGACGTCTCCCCGCCCCGCTGTCAGAGGCGGGAAAGCGCGCGGGATACAGCGCACCTCTCTGCGACTCGTGCTTCTCCGTCTTGCCCTGGTAATCGAAGCCCACTGCGCTCTTGTCCACGCGGTCCGCCTGCACACCGTACTTGCCGCCAAAGCCACTCGAGTAGTCTAGGAAGACAGGGCAGGAGTCGGTGCGTCAGCCCAATGGTGAACCAGACTGTGGCTGCTTCAAAGTCAGCAAGACACTTGGGGTTACAAGTCACAGAGGTCCAGACCCACTGCCACACACAGGGCACCGGGCGTGTCTGACGTGTGTCTGACGTGCGCCTGCTGTTGCTGTGTGCTGTCAGGATGATTCCAGCTCACGGGCACCCTGTGGGACAGAGCTCATCTGCCCACAGGGTTCCCAAGGCTGTCAGTCTCTACGGGGACAGACTTCCAGGCCTCTTCTCCCCTAACATGTGCCTCCTGGACTTTTTGTCCCACTTGATGGTTAAAGGGCAGCTCTTTCGTGTTGGGAGAATGCAAGCCACAACCCTACTTTAAAAATAACTGTTCCCATAGAGTACAGAGAAAGCTGCACAGAGAAAACACTACGTGTGAACGCCAACTGGACACATACCTAAAGTGCTCACGTACAGGGCGCCCTCCCAGAGCACCACGTGACACAGGAGGTAGAACCTGACAACCCGAGAAGACAGAGTGCTTTGGGGAGGTGGCAGGCCTGTTTTTAAAAAGGCTTTACAGCTGAGATGACCAAACGAACAACCACCACACCGATGAAGACACGCCGGCGTGCTGCTCAGCTCCGCCCGTGCGTGTTACCACCCCACCCCACACTCTGGCTCCTGGCTGGAGGGGATGTCAGTGTTTTGCCAGCAACATCAGAGAGAGAACTTCTCCTGGCGGGCTGTTTACAGGAAGGGGAGGTGTCCGCTGCCCCCACAGAGGCATCCTGCTAACGGGGACGGGGACGGCACACCTCGTCCGACCACAGCCTGAGAGAGAGAACCAGAAGGCGGCAGAGGGGCGGTGCTCCTGCAGACAGCCCGCCTCGCCCGGAGCACAGGCAGCGTCCGGCGGCGTCCAGGCTCTGGCACCGTTCTCCCCAGCTTACCTTTCTGGGAGACGTGCTTCTCAGTTTTGCCCTGGTATTCAAAGCCCACAGCAGACTGCAAGGGAAAAAAGACACAATCATGCATCTTTAAAGCTGCCAGACCCATTACGTGATTTCACAAAACATAGGAAAATTTAAAAAATAAACCACAGTATTTTTGACCTCTGATTTCCTAAGACAAAGGCAGGTCAAATCACTGACTCAGGATGGTTGTGAACTCACACGTCAGACTGTAACACAAAGCCATGTACTGCACAGGCCACATGGTGTCCCATCCTGCCCAGACTCGCGCCCCAGTGTGCTACACAGGCCACGTGACAGTCACGTGGTGTCCCGTCCCGCCCCACCCAGACCCGTGCCCCAGTGTGCTACACGGGCCACGTGACAGTCACGTGGTGTCCCGTCCCGCCCAGACCCACGCCCCAGTGTGCTACACAGGCCACGTGACAGTCACGTGGTGTCCCGTCCCGCCCAGACCCGCGCCCCAGTGTGCTACACGGGCCACGTGACAGTCACGTGGTGTCCCGTCCCGCCCAGACCCGCGCCCCAGTGTGCTACACGGGCCACGTGACAGTCACGTGGTGTCCCATCCCGCCCAGACCCGCGCCCCAGTGTGCTATACGGGCCACGTGACAGCCACAGCCACCTGTCCTCCCAAGGGCAGGCCACAAGACAACTGCGGCGGCCTGTCCTCCCCAGACCCATGCCCTCAGCATGCTGGGGCTGTAAAGTGAGCTCAGTGGGTTACTGCAGTCACACAGCACCGTACGAGCGACTCCCCGTGCCTACCCGCCTGCCAAATCAGCTGCCCTAAGAATGATGTTAATACCAGTAACAAGGGCTGTGGCTCCTACAACCCACGACCAGGCCAGGTCCCGGCTGGGCATCCCACCACACACTGTCTGGTTTAGGGGGTCTTCTGATCACCCCGTCTACAGACAGGTAAGCCAGGACACAGGCTGGAAAGCAGCCCCGCCAGAATGAGGGCCCAGGTCTGTCTGACTCTTAACCACCGCAACCAGACAAGACAGCAGAGATGAGGCCGTGAGCCACAGCATCGAGAGCAGGCAGACGGCACCTGGACACCGACCTGTGGTGTGGAGCAGACCTGTGTGGTAGCCACCTCCCTGGGTGTGAGCAGGACGAGTCACAACACACACGTGGGGGAAATGGAGGGAACACGGCACATGCCAGCACCTTCTCAGAAGTAAGAGAAGACTGCCTGACCAGAGACCACTCCGGCAAGTGTGACCACTGGGCCGTCCGGCGAGCAGAGTGCACGACAGGGCCGTGCGCAGCAGGCACAGAGAGAGAGCCGTCCAACCCTCGGTTCTCGCTTCTTCAAACCCAGAGCCGTGAAGTCGATTCCGACCCAAGGCACCGCTAGAGAACAGTGAACTGCCCCAGAGGGTCTTCCTCCCGCAGAGCGGCTGGGGGGTGTGAACTGCCGACCTCTCAGTCGGCAGCCAAGAGCTCAACCACTGCGCCACCAGGGCTTCCTCGCCCCTTCACCCGACCCATGATGTCAGCTCTCAGGAGGGGAGCCCCGAACCCTTCCGTCCAGCCCTGTGCCCCACCCACCGTCACGGAGCCGCCACGCTTCTCCCAGGGGCCTGTCCGTGCGAGACACACACGTCGCTCTGGGGGCGGCACCCCCTGCCCTGGTCCCCGAGGACGTGCCACTCACCTGGTCCACTCTGTCCACCTGCACGCCAAATTTGCCTCCAAAGCCCCGGACCGCGTCGACCTGCGAGCAGTGCTGGGAAAGCTTCGACTGGTACTCGTGGCCAACGGCCGACTGCAAGAGGGTTCGAGCCAGGTGTTAGACCCCCAGCTGTGTGGCCCCTTCTCCCCCACGCGGCGCTGAAGGGAGCCCCTCCCCCCCAGCTCCAGGGCAGCGTACTGCACACTCCTTGATGGGGTAGACATCACAGTGCCGGGCCCTCAGCCCTCAGTGAACCTGAACCCTGGGCTCCCGATGCCCAAGGGCTGAAGTGAAGAAAGGCCCATACGGCCCCCACATCCACACAGCACGGCCCCCCCGCATCCACAGAGCACGGCCCCCCCACGTCCACACAGCAAAGGCCCCATGTCCGCAGAGCACGACCCCTGCTTCCTGCCACACTGTTGGTAAGATCAGCTCACGTGAAGGTCTGGGGCAAGATGGTTATTGTTACTTCAGGACCCAAGCAGCAGGGCAAAGCCACTCTCCTGACACGCTGAAACAGACACGCACACCCGTGTTCCAGCACAGACGTGCACTCGGCGTCTTCGAGCACACACCACCCAGGACCGGAGCCAGGTCCTGACCCCTGGCTCCCTCTAGCAGCACCACCACCTCCGTTGACACCACAGGTCACATGTGTCCCAAGGGGCAAAGCAAGAGACGAACCCAGGGCTTCCCACTGCAGAGGTGCAGCCCAAGGCCCAACTGCCCCCCAGGTTGGTGAGCAAGGTCTCAGGCACCCCCTTCACGTACATCCAGTGTGGACTTCTCTCCTGCCCAACCAGAGCCGAGTTGCTGACAGAGACCCTGTGGGCCACAGCACCTGCAGCACGCCCCGCCCCGAGCACCCCGGGCTCTGCGCGGCCCCACCCGCACTCCACCCGCAGGCCGAGCGAGGCCTGGGCCTCCATGGGCCCTTCGGCGGAGTGCAAGAGCAAGTTTAGGGGCCCGGCAAGGACCATGGGACCCCGCCAGGGCGTCAGACTGCCTGTTCTCTGGCAACTCACCCCACCGGGAAGGCCTGGCCATAGCTGCCTCGTACCCTGAGGCCAACTTCTGGGTATGTTTTCAGAAAGTCAGGCAACTACGGGGTTTGTAAACAGAGCAGCAGCCCAGTTCTCGAGCACCAGCAGGAGGCGGAGCCAACACCTCCACGGCCCAGCGCTCACAGTGGCCTCGGCCTCTTCTCCCACCTTGGTCTTGACATTGGCTGCCGCTGCTCATGTGCGTTACACCCGGGCTCTGTGGTCTCAGTGGGGGGTTCCTGCCCAGAGCACAGCCAGGAGCACCTGGCAGCAGACTGATGCAGCCCCCAGAGAGTCCCTCCCGCCCCCTGGGGCCCAGGGAGGGCAAAAAGCCCTGGAATCTGGCGCCACAGACAGCTGGGCAGGTCTGCTCGGAGGAGCGTCATTCCAAAAACCGCCTCTGACCACACACGGCACTGAGCATCGGCGGGAGGGATGGGGCGCAGGGCGCTGTTGGGGGGCTTCGAAGAACAAGCGCCGCTGGCAGCCCACGGCTGTGAAGGAGCCCGAGGAGCGCGTGACCACGCCACCTCACCCCAACAAACGGCGAGTGCTCACATGGCCGCGTCCACGGGGCCCCACGGCTCCTGGCTCACCCCAACGAAGGCCAAGGCTCAGTGAGCAGCCTCCACGTGACCCCACGGCCCCTGCCGCACCCCAGTGAAGGCTGTGGCTCACTCGGCAGTGTCCACGGGAACCCAGGGCTCCTGACTCACCCCGACGAAGGCCAAGGCTCAGTGAGCAGCCTCCACGTGACCCCACGGCCCCTGCCGCACCCCGACGAAGGCTCTGGCTCAGTGGGCAATGCCCACAGGACCCCACGGCCCCTGCCTCACCCCGGCCTGTGCTCCACGTGCAAATATGTGCTTGCCCCCCCTCTGCTTCATTCTGGAAGTCTCCATCACGTACCCGACTGGTAACAGTTTGCTGTGAGCCGTCAAATCCACTGCAGCTCGTAGGGACTGGAGCTGTGACAAAACAGACCTGTCCTGCAGAGACCCCCAGGCCGCCATCTTTACAGAAGAGGCCAGGCCTCCCTCCCATCAAACCGCCTGCTGGGCTAGAAGCGCCAGCCACGCACTCAACCACCGCACCACCAGGGTTCCTGCGAGACACAATGATCTCAAGAGTTCTTCAGTCTCTGGAAAAAAGCCACACGTAACATGAAGCACTTCCTTCGAGTTCAGAACCTTGGTTATTTCTGATCCAGACCGGTCTGGTCACGCTCGTGGGAGCAGAGGGCTTCTTCCTCCTGCTGCGTGTCGGTGGGCAGTGGTGGGGTGGAGGGTAGGGAGGCCCGAGCAGCTGCATCGCTGGGCTGCCTGGTTGAGGGGAACGAGGCGGCCCCCCCAGCTGCAGAGACAAGGGTCCTGCTCCAGGCTGTGGGCCCCGCCAAGGCATCGCCTGGGGGTGCTGTCCCCAGGTACTCCCTGGGCTGCACCAGGCCACACATGAGGCGGGGGCTCAGCAAGCCCAGACCTGGACGGGGTGGTGCTTGTCAGGGGCTGTCAAGGCGACTCTGACTCAGTGACGCGCCGCGACTGGGCGTTAGAACCGCCCTGCGGCGTTTTCTATGACGTTAATCTCTCTGGGAACAGATCACCGGGCTTCTCTCCCACGTAGCTGCTGAGTGGGACCCCGACCTCTCAGCAGACGAGCGCTTGACCAGTGCACCACCGTCACAAACCAGGGGCAGTGCGGTGTGCGGGGCCGGGGCGGGGCGGTGTGCGGGGCCGGGGCGGGGCAGTGTGGGGGGCTGGGGCGGTGTGGGGAGCCCGGTGGGAGCCGCAGCTACAGTGTGAGAGCAGCCACGGCTCAGGCAGGTGGCGAGAAGGCAGGCCCCTCCGGGAGGCCCCACAGCACCCCTGAGGGAGCCGGAGGCTGAAGGCAGGTCCGGCAACAAAGGACAGTGCGAGGCCGCAAGACACACGAACCCTGTTCCCCGACGTGCGGTGCTTCCCACCCGAGTCCAGGGCGCGGCTTTTACATGCCGTCTTTCTGTTCCAACTCCCCACAAACCCAGGGAGGGGGCAGTCGGGGAGGGGTTGCTTCCTGACCCTGGCTTCTGTCTGCTGCTTGCTCCCCGAATGCTACAGCAACTGTTCAGAATCTCACAGCAACCATTCCAACCACCTTCCCAACTAGTGGCCGGGACCTCTGGGGCAGGGACACGGTGACACCACAAACTGTCCGTGTCCCCTTCCAGCAGCCCCACTGCCGGCTGGGTGGAGGTGGTGTGGGCGTCCACACAGGCCCACCTGACCCCACCCCACTTCCTGGCTGGCTGGCTGTGGGGCAAGCAACCCAGCAGGCCCACCCCGCCCCACTGCGCTAGAGCACCATGGGGGTGCCATCTCTGTCCAGCTCTTCACCTGACCCACAGGAGGGGAAGGGTGTGAATTACAGACCAGATCCCAACACCAGCTGGGTGTTTACTGGTAAACAGAACCAAGGCATGTCTGCTGGAGTGAGACAGCACACAACTCAGAACTGGGCCTGCTCCCCTAAGGGCACGTCTGCAGCAAACACAGAGATACCCCACCTACTCGTCTCCTTTCCAGGAGCTACACGATCGGGGACCCCGTGCAGAGAGGCGCCAGCAGTACTGCCCCAGGGGATGCAGGCCCATCTGCGTGGCCCGCACCCGTCTCCTACACTAACGGGGACCCCCTGTGCGCAGACGCATCGGCAGTGGGGTGTCTCCTGGGAAGTTCTGGCACATGGCCGGCCACGGGCTTTCTGAGAGCGAGGCCCCCGCCTGTCGGGGCTGACCCCCGGAGCCTGCCAGGCCACACTCAGAGGTCAATGCACGCGGGAGGACTCCAGCTAGACCTCTGGATGTTCACGTGACAACAGGACGAGGCTGCAGGAACCTGCTCCACCACGCGCAGCGATGACGAGGACCTGTCCTGAGCACGAAGCGGACCCGGGGCCCATCTCCACCTCGGCCTCCCTCCAGCCTTGGCCGGGGGAGTGTACCAGCGTCCCCCCAGGGGAGTGCTTCCAGACAAAGCCGAACTGACAGAGGGCGACCTCTGGCCAAGGTGACCCCAGAAAACTGACCCTGAACTTTGAACCCACAGGAACACAGGGTGACTCCTGGGCATCCCATCTGCACGGCCACGCCCCCCGACACTGGCGCGTGGACCGCCACCCTCACCTTGTCCATTCTATCCTGCTCCAGGCCGAACTTCCCTCCGTAGCCGTGGGAGGCCTTGGGTCCTGTTTCCCGTTCCTTCTCCTTGAGGATCTGGTGCTCCTGGGAGACGTTCTCCCTCAGCTTGTGGATACTTGAAGGGGAGAGAGAAGACGGTCACCAGCAGCCGTGCCCTATGCAAGGGCAGGCTGCGGGAGCTGCAGCCGTCAGCCAGGGCTGCGCGTCTGCCAGCCTGATGCCCGCCTGCGTGCTCTGCCAGCCCCCCACCAGTGGTGCTGAGCCACGTGGAGGGGTAGCACCCTCCCCCAAACAGCCACCATCAGATGTGGGCAGGACAGCTGCTCAGCTTCCCACTGGAGTGCAAACCGTCATCCGGGGGCTGCCCAGGGCAGGTCAGGGGGCCCCTCAGCTCAGACACCAAGGGCACCCAGAGCCCCATGCCCCGTGCCCTTGAGATAGCCTGCTTCCGCTTGAGGCATTCAGGCTTGTACATGGAGACAGGGTGTTTATGATCTATAAGCTGTTTGTCTCTGAAATACAGGGGAGACTGAACAGAACACGAGCTGTGGCCCAGATGCCGCACGCCTTCTCGAAGAGTCTGCCAGCCTCGCCGGCAGGGCCCTCCACCACCCAGGGGACACGGAGGCACTAAACGACCCAGCCCATACTTTCAACATGGATACTACGACCCCAAGTGTGGACACAACAGAGGTTTTAGGAACAAGGGAAAGACGATTACTACTCCTAAAAGCCTGGAGACCCCAGGACCTCCTGAACATCTGTATCCCCCACACGCCCTGAGTTCCCATCAGCCCTGACCCTCTGTCTGTTCTCTAACCCGCATCCCCCGTGGGCATGGAAACCTCCAGAAACAGAGGAGACGAGAGGAGGAACAGAGGCCACCCTGTCCGGGAGTCAGCTGACCCCATGGTGCCCCACCGAGGACCGCTCAGGCTCCCTCGCCGGCTCTCACTTCTCCAGCTGCTGCTGTGTAAGGGTGGGGCCTACACACGAAGGACACACACTGGCGTTTCAAGTCCCACAGTGCACATTCAGCCCTCGTTTGGATGTTTTACTGATGCTTTTCCAGCCCCAAGCAACTCACTGTACTGCAAAGACATTTACGCTTCACAGTAAGACGAACTGCCCACACCACCGAAGCAGAGGCCCTGGTCACAGCGATGCCTTCAGTCGGGGGTGTGGGCACAGATTGACCCCAGTGGAGCCTACACTAACTGTCTGAGCCACTGAAAACAGCAGGAACTCCCCCACCTGACGAGGAATACACCTACGAGGCAGTGACTGAAGGTGCCCACGTCAGCAACGAGGACATGGCTCACTCCAGAACCAACTACTCAACCCTGCAGTGCAGTCACCTCCGGACGGCGGCTCACGCTCAAACCCTTGCCGTTGCAGAAAGGAGAGCTGCACCAACTGCCCTGGCCGGAAAAGCTCGGCACCGGGAGCAGTCATTCCAGGACACATGCAAAAGTGAACCGCGATGGGAACCGAGAGTGAGGGGTGTGTATGCGTGTAAACACACGTTACATACATGTCATACACATACCCACATATGCAAAAGTGGGCTGCACTGGGAAACTGAGGGAGTGTGCAGATATGTGTATGTATGCATGTGCACACACGTTACACGTCATACACGTGTATAAGAATGGACTGGACAGGAAACCAAGGGAGTATGTGTGTCTACGGATGTGTGTACACATACATTACACATATGCCACACACATACATATAAAAACAGACTACACAGGCAATTGAGTGAGTATGTGTATTTACAGATGTGTGTACACATGTCACACGTATCATACACATACTAAAAAAACAGACTGCATGGGAAATCAAGGGAGTATATGTGTCTATGGATGTGTGTACACATACATTCCATGTATATCACACACACCCACACATATAAAACAGATTGCAATGGGAACCCAAGGAGTAGGTATATATGTGTGTATGTACATGCATTACATACGTGCTATAAACATACATGCATGCAAAATGGACCACAATGGGAACTGAAGGAGGAGCATTTATGTACGTATGTGTATTTGTACGTATACACACACATCATGTACATACACATAAAATCAACTACAATGGGAACTGAAGGACAATTTATACACGTACATGTATTTGTATGCATATACACACATCACACACACATCACACATACACTCACAAAATTAACTACACTGGGAATTGAGCGAGTATTTATGCATGTACGTATATTTGTATGTATACACACATCACACACACGTCATACAGATACATAAAATTAACTACACTGGGAACTGAGGGACTATTTATGTATGTGTATTTGTATCTATACACACGTCCCACACACATCACACACAGACACATAAAATTAACTGCACTGTGAACTGAGGGAGTATTTATACATGTACGTGTATTTCTGTGAACACAGGTCACACACACACATAAAATTAACTACACTGGGAACTGAGGGAGTATTTATGTAAGTGTATGTATTTGTATGCATACACACGTCACACACATAGGATTAACTACAATGAGAACTGAGGGACTATTTATATATGTATGTATATTTCTATGTCTACACCTACGTCACACATAGACACATAAAGTGAACTACACTGGTGTGGTGGTTATGTTTGTGTGTCAACTAGGCTGGGCCTGACTTTGGTACTGAGAGACTGGGGTGCTGCTCTGACAGATACCTAAAATGTGGAAACAGGAATGGAGTGCGTCCTTGACCCGAGACCCTGGCAGAGAAACCCCAGCATATGGCAGGACAGACGGCAAGAGACCGGCATGAGAGACAGTAGGAGCAGAGCCCAGAGACCGGAATGCGACAGCGACAGCCTCACCAGCCCACGGAGGAGAAGCTGGATGCCTTGGGTTAGGCGGCTTCCTGGCGGAGTGGGTTGCCTTCAGGCCTTACTTGGTAGAAAAGATCAGCATGAAATGGAGTAGCAGGTTGGCTGACCCACGGAGCAAAAAAAGCCGGGTGCTTTTTGGCCAGGGTTTTTCCACGGAGTGGGTTGCCTTTGGCATTGATCGGCAGAAGCAGAGACCAAGGAAACGGAAGCAGAGCTCCCTCAGCCTCAAGGGTAGGACCGTGGCCTTTGGGGGTGGAACGACCACAGCCCCCTAGGTTTCAGAGCCAGGCCTTCACCACCTTGGTTCTGGAGTGTGGGGCTGCTCGTTCATGTGAGCCAGTGGGATGGAGCCATAGCCGCTGCCCAAGAGAGAGGGGGCAGGGCTGCCATGCCCAAGAGGGAGAGGAACGGGCCCACCAGGCCAAGAGGATGAGGTCGCCACTTAGAGGAACTAGGGGACTGGAGCCACCCAGTGGGGAGACCTGTATAGGTGCCAAGCTGACAGGGGGTGGAACTGTGGTGGTTAAGGCTGTGTGTCAACTTGGCTGGGCCTGGCTGAGTGGCTGGGCAGCTGGTAGTAGTTACTCCCCATGACAACACTGGCAATCAACTCCATGGTGGGATCTACCACAAGCAGCTGAGTAGCTGCTTTGGGTATGTGGTCTGCTTCCTGTACATAAGGAAAAGCCTTGGGGATAGTCTCTAGCTTATGGCTTGAACCCTGCATGTAGCCAAGTCGTTGTTCACCAGCCTGCCATGCTCTGCCGGCCTTGGGACTTTGAATGGACTTGAATGAACAGACTTGAATTAATGGCCTGCCGTGTGGTCTGGTAACATGGGACTGTGCCTTTTTGCTTGTCAGCCTCAGCAGCCAGCAGCTGTCTGAGTGAAGAAAAGCCTCTAGCTTCAGTGGGCCAGGAGCAGGAGGCAGAGCTGGACCCCAAGGTTGAGGGGCTTATACCCAGCCCCTAGAACCTGGCACTTTGGACTTGGACTTAAAGCCTCCACATTGTAAGAATAAACTCCTGTTTGTTAAGGCCTCCCATTGGTGGTATATTCTTGTCAGAGCGGCACTAGGGAACCAGAACAACTGGTAACTGAAGGAGTACGTGCAATGTGTGTGCACGTCTGTACAAATGTGTTACATGTGTGCCCATACACATATACGTACATGTATATGCATACAGGTGCTCTGGTGGCACAACACTTAAGTGCTTAGCTGTCAACTGAAGGGTTGGTGGTTCAAACTCACCCAGCAGCTCTACAAAAAAAGATGTAGCAGTCTGCTCCCAATGAGACAACAGCCTAGGAGACCCAACGGGGCAGTTCCACTCTGTCACATTGGGTCACTATGGGTTGGAACCAACTTGACAGAACCCAACAACAGTATGTGTGTACACACACACACACACACACACTCTCTCTCTCTCTCTCTCTCTCTCTCTCTCACCTACCTACCTGTCACATGGGGTCACTATGAATCGGAACTGACTTTGACAATGTGGGTATAAACACACAGATATACACATACATACACCACGTCTAATATTACCTATTATGTTATCAGGTCAACAACACAATCAGAAGCACCTCTAACACAAAGGTCCACACGGGCCAATCAGGGAGGTGACGTCCCCACGTGCCAGCACCAGCATTTCCAGCCAGCACGTCCCCCGGAAGCACCAACACAGCCTCTTACTCGATGTGCTCCTGGTGTCCGGAGCCCTGCACCGTCTTGGCGCCCCATCTCTGCTCTTTCTCACTTACGTCATTCTGAAAAGAAAAAGAAGTAAGGAGAGACCTCCCGTGCTGCACAGGAAACCAGGCCACCCGTCAGCACCCCACCAAGCAGAGTTCCCTTTAAGGAAAACAGAACCAGTGGAGACTGGAGGCGCGTACCACGAAGTCGGGGTCTGTTTCCCAGTCATCGGCACCCCCATCGTCCTGGGTGATGGACACGGCGTGGCCCGCAGAAGCTTTCCACATCTGCAAGAGTAGCACTGAGGTTACGGGGACCTTGGGAAGAAGGGCACTTTCAGAGGCAAAGTAGGTCCCCCTGTGAGAACATGGCAGGGCGGGGAGCTACGGGGCCCCCCGTCCTTCGTCTTCCCCGTGCCTGAGCGACAACGTGAGGAGCAACACTGCACACTACCACGGTGCTGCCACGCCGTCGAGTGGCATCAGAACACCGCTGGCGTCTGCTGCCGAGGGTGCTCTCGACAACAGACGGACAGACAGCTGAGCAGGTGGCCGCTACATCACAGGACACGTCTCGTTCTGCCGACTCCTCCAACAGCACTGCTTCCCAGACCGTAAGCGAAGCACCGGCTGGCTTTCAGTGACTTCACAGACACAGAACCTGTTCCTCTCCCCGGGCCCCACCAGAAAGTGCCTCAAGTAACTGATTAGCAGGCTGCTGTACCATCGGCCTGGGGGACACACAGGCCACACAGTGCCTGCCATCCCTGTAGGGGCCACCCTGCACCTTCTTCTCCCGTAGTCACCTGTGTAAGACAGTCAGGCTCCGTCTGAGACAATGACGCTGCTGCTCCTACCGACAAGGTGACTGACTCTCTGTCTCTGTCCCGCCACGTGGGGACCGTCCCATACTCCAGGAACAACCGACTCACCTCCTCGAGAAGCACTAACATGCTCAGAGGCCAGGGGGCAGGTGGCAGCTTACTTAAGTCCCCAACAGGAAGCTCTGCTCAGGTGCCAAATCGAGAGGGGTCAATGCGCCACCTCGGGGGCCCGGAGCCACCACAGAAGCTGCACTGGGGTTTCTGTGGCCTGAACTAAGGGCGGGTAAAAGCCCCAGCGAGCTTGAGAATCTCCTACATAGACTCACCCCCTGCAGCTCTGCGGGGTCTCGAGTCCAAGTTCAGGACGGTTAAGTGCTGTTGCTTCTGACTCACAGCGAACCCATGTACAAGAGAACAAAACCCCGCCTGGCCCTGCGCCGGCCTCACAATCGTTGCCAGCTGGAGCCCATCGTCGCAGCCACTGGTCCATCCACCTCGTGGCGGGCCTTCCTCTTTCTCACTGACCCTCTACTTTGTCAAGCAGCATGTCCTTCTCCAAGACTGGACTCTCGTGATAACGTGTCCAGTGGACGAGAGATGAGTTGTGGCCATGCTTGCTTGTAAGGAGCATTCCGGCTGCGCTTCCTGCCCGACAGACGTGTTCACTCCTCTGGCCCCCACGGCACGCTCAGCGTTCTTCCCGGCAGCACAGCTCAAAGGCATCAACTCTTCTTCGGTCCTCCTCCTTCACTGCCCAGCTTTCACATGCCTATGAGGCGACTGACAATACCATGGCTGGGGTCAGGGGCACCCTAGTCTTCAGAAAGACATCGCTGCTTTTTAACACTTCAAAGAGGTCTTTTTGCAGCAGACTTGCCCAGTGTGATATGTCGTTTGATTTCTTAACTGCTACTTCCACAAGTGTCATTGTGGATCCAAGTAAAATGAAATTTTTGACAACTTTAATCTGTTCTCCATTTACCGTGATGTTGCTTATTGGTCCAGTTGTGAGGATTTTCGTTTTTGTTGAGGTGTAATCCATACTGCAGACTGTAGCCTTCCATCTTCATCAGTAAGGGCTTCAAGTCTTCTTTCCTCTCAGTGGGCAAGTTCGTGTCATCTGCATATTACAGGTTATTAATGATTCTTCCCCCAATCCTGATGCCACATTCTTCTTCACACAGTCCAGCTTGTTGGATTATTTGCTCAGCATACAGACTGAGTAAGTGTGGGGAAAGGATATAGTCCTGACACACACCCTTCCTGATTTTAAACCATGCAGTGTCTCCTTGTTCTGTTCAAACAACAGCCTCTTGGTTTATGTACAGGTTCCTCATGAGGACAATTAAATGCTCTGGAATTCCCATTCTTTGCAGCGTTATCCATAATTTGTTATGACCCACACATACCTGAATGCCTTTGCATAGTCAACAGAACACGGGTAAACATCTTTCTGGTCTTCTCTGCTTTCAGCCACGATCCATCTGACCTCAGCGATGACAGCCCTCATTCCACATCCTCTTCTGATCTGCGCTGAATTTCTGGCAGCTCCTTGTCAATATATTGCTGCAACCATTTCTGAAGTACCTTCAGCAAAACTTTACTTGGGTGTAATATTAATGATATCATTGGATCATTTCCACATTCTATTGGATCACTTTTGTTTGAAATGAGCAAAAATATGGATCTCTTCCAGTTGGTTGGCCAGGAATCCGTCTTCCAAATTTCTCAGCATATGAGTGAACGGTCCCAGCATTTCATTCATTTGGTGAAACATCTCAATTGGTATTCTGTCAGCTCCTGGTGCCTTCTGCTTTTGGCCAATGCTTTCAACGCAGCTTTGACTTCCTTCTTCGACACCATCAGTGTTTGGTTGTATGCCACCCTCCTGAGACAGCTAAGCGTCAACCTCAGTAAAGTGACTGTATGTTCCTCCCATTTTCTTTTGATGCTCCCCACATTGTCCAGTATTTTGTCTGTCAAACAAAAACACCAAACTCACTGCCATCAAGTCAGTTTCAACTCACAGCGCCCTCCATTGGGTTTCTGAGGCTGCAAGTCTTTATGGAAGGAGATTGCCCCATTTTCCTTCTGCAGAGCAGCTGATGGGTTTGAGTCACTGACCTTCCAGTTAGCAGCCAAATGCCTTATCCACTATACCACCAGAGCCCCTTCACACTGCCACAGAAGCATTCAATATTGGCAACCCAAGGCTTGAGTTTTTTCTTCAGTTCTTTCAGCTTGAGAAATGCCAAGCATGTCCTAACCTTTTCATTTTCTAACTCCAGGTCTTGGCACATTTCATCAGAATACTCTGCCTTCCTGAGCCACCCTTTGAAATCTCCTGTCCAGCTCTTTTACTTCATCATTTCTTCCATTTGCTTTAGCTACTCTCCATTCAAAAGCCAGTTTCAGAGTCTCTTCTGACATCCACTTTGGTCTTTTCTTTCTTTCCTGTCTTTTTAATGACTTTTTGCTTTCTTGATGTATGATGTCCTTGATGTTACCTCACAACTCATCTGGTTTTCCATCATTGGTGTTCAAATCTATTCTCTCAATTTGTGTCAAATCCAGTCTCTCAATTCAGGTAGGACATCCTCAAGGTCATATTTTGGCTCTCATGGACTGTTTCTTTGTGTTTGTTTGTTTTTGTAATTTTTATTGTGATTTGGGTGAAAGCTTACAGAGCAAATTCACTTTCCCTACAGCAGCTCACATACTACTTTGTCTCGTGACATTGACTGTAATCTCCCACAATGCCACAGCTCCCCTCCCACGTCCTCCCGACAGCCACCTCTTCCCTGTGTCCTTCCCTCCCATGCACTCCTGTCCCCTGAGCTGTCTCCCTGTGCATACACAGCCCTTTTGTTCTCCCGTGATTGTTCTCTCCCAGGAGTGTATCTACCTCAGGTACATGTTCACTTCATATGCCTGTCTTTTGTTTGGCTGGAAGCCACAGGAGTGGGTTCAATTCCAGACCTGAAGGGCAGCTAGGGGCCTTAGTCTCAGGCGTTCCATCAAGCTCTATCGGACCAGCAAACCTGGTCCTTTTTTAAAAAATGATTTTGAATTTTCTCATGGACTGGTTTTGATTTTTTCAGCTTCAACGTGAAGTTGCATTTAAGCGACTGACGACTGGTCTGCGGTTGCCCCTGACCTTGCTCTGAGCGACGGTACTGAGCTGCTTCATCATCTCTTTCCGCAGAATGTAGTCAGTTTCGTTCCTGTGTGTTCCATCTGCTGAGGTCCATGTGTGTAACTGCTATTTATGTTGCTGATAAAAAGTACTTCCAATGAACAGGTTGTTGGTCTTACAAAATTCTCTTGTGTGATCTCTGATGTCATGCCTATCACACTAAGGCTATCTAGATTTTCCAGTAGTTGTTGTTGTTGTTGTTGTGTGCCGTCGAGTAGGAAGAGGCTAAGCAGGGCGCAGTGCCCTGGAATCCTGGATGTGGCTCCTGTCACCGTATCTGGGGCAGGGTCCTCGGCCACCAGTGGGTAAGGCCAACCACACCCTTTTGAGGCCACTGCAACTGGGCTCCCCACTGTCGAGATGTCCCGGAGGAAAACCACAGCACGATCTGCGTTTGACACAATTCAAGGAGCAAATGAACCATAAACTGTCCACTGGAGGCCAAGCGTAAACTGTCCCCTGGAGGACAGGCATAAACTGTCCCCTGGAGGCCAAGCATAAACTGTCCCCTGGAGGCCAGGCATAAACTGTCCCCTGGAGGCCAGGCATAAACTGTCCCCTGGAGGCCAGGCATAAACTGCCCACTGGAGGCCAAGCATAAACTGTCCCCTGGAGGACAGGCATAAACTGTCCCCTGGAGGACAGGCATAAACTGTTCCCTGGAGGACAGGCATAAACTGTTCCCTGGAGGCCAAGCATAAACTGTCCCCTGGAGGACAGGCATAAACTGTCCCCTGGAGGCCAGGCATAAACTGTCCCCTGGAGGCCAGGCATAAACTGTCCCCTGGAGGCCAGGCATAAACTGTCCACTGGAGGAACAAGCAGACAATGCTGTCCCGGTGTCCTCATTCCCTAAGTGAGGACACATCCACAGGACAACTAAGCAACGTGGCCAGCCCACTGCCACACCTCTGCCCCCAGCTCCACGTCCCTCCTGCCACGACACTGTAGGAAGAGAGGTTTCCCATCTGCCGCGCCTCAACTGCCTATGGTTTCCACGGCTGTGGAGACAGCTGCCCGGCGGGCACCAGTGGGACGAACAAGCACCCTACAGTCAAGGGTGGAAGCAGGTGTGTCCTCCTGTGATGTTTCGGGGCCCACTCGCCAGCTGCCTCTTGGAAACCAGCTCCACTGGGGGGCAGGTTGAGGACGTCTGCAGGCCTCCTGGCGCTACGCACGGCTCTTCTCACCTTCCAGAGACCTGGCTGAGAAGAGGCCCCGCGGCCTCCTCAGACAGCACCGAACAGCAGCTTCTCCATTCTGGAGTT